TGTTTTTTTTTTTTTGCGATATCGTTGAAAAAAAGTGAAAACGCGGAGAGAAATTTTTTCCCCCTGCCCCCTCCCCGGAAGGTCGAACGAGGTGAGAAACGAATTTCCTGTTCGTTGAATAATAAATTTATCGCGAGGGAAAGAGCGTGGAGGAGCGAATTCATTTAGGAGTCCGCGATTAAAAAGATCTATTGTGCTCGGCCAGGTTTTTTATTCCCGAGAATCTTCGGTGAACAAGGCTCTTGGAGGATTAACAAGTGCGATAAATTGGACCGACCCGACTTTTCGCGAATTTTGTCGCAAAAATCCGTGGCCCTCGAAATAAAATCGTGGAAAAATTAAATGATCCCGATTGAAAAAAAGTTTCTTACCCTTTCTTTCCAACATTTTTATTATTTAAATGAGAGGAATATCTTTGTAGAAAGAGAAAGGAAAAAAGGAAAAAAAGAAAAAAAAATTGGAAGAATTCCGTTCAACGAACGAAAGAAGACAACGAAAGGAAAAGAAACGCGGAAGAAATGCGACAAAGTTCGTTGGAGGATGGACGTCTGGTGGACAGTTTCGCCAAAGTATGTGCATATCGTTCGTGCATGCCGTAAATAAACAACAAAAGATCGATCGGGGCGAGCGCTTATTAAACATTCGGGCCGCGATGACCGCCGTGGCGCGGCGGATATATCTCGGCCGGGCCGGCTAATAAATTACGCTCGACACAAACGGACCACTATCACGGGCAGACACGTTCGTGCCACGTCGCCCTTATCTCATCGAAGTTACAATAATCACACTCTCTTCGTCCGGCTCCACGCTGACGCACGCGTCCGGCCGCGTGCATTGAAAAAGATCGAACGCGTCCTGAGACGAAACGACGCCGAATACGCGACGGCGATCCAATATAATTCCAGTGAAAATCGGGGAGGAATCTTATCGAGGATAGAAGCCGAGAACTTTCGTTTTTCTCTTTTTTTTTCTTTTTTGATTGAAAAGATTTTTTTTTTTTTTTTTTAATTATTCGAGGAAAGAGATTTGAGGTTTGAGAAAGTTTGAAGAGGTTGAAAGGAGTTGGATATTTCTGCGAAAAGAGGGGAGAGAATTGTGGTGGGACAATTGTAATTTGACGAGGCCGATAGAAATTGGAATGATTTCGAAAAAAAATTGGAGAAAAGTAAAAGGAAACGAGAAACGGTGAAAAAGTGATTTGGGTGTTGGTTTGGAACGGTTTAAGAAGCGGTTTCAGAACGAAGAAGCTGAAGTATTTTTGAAAAATTTGAAAAGAGGAAAGAGAAAGTGAGATAAGTGGTCATTTCTGTGGGAGGGGATTGGAGGAGTTCGAAGGAAGTTTGAACGAGCTCGTCGAGGAAATTTTGAAGCTGGTAAACCTGCAATTCAATTATTGTCGAAATATCGAAATTGTGCGATATAACATAGACACAACGTAGGAACGGCACTCGACCAATATTTTTCAATCTCTCTCCTCAACGAGTCTCTTGTTCGCACAAGAAGAAAACCCCTAACTATTCCTATTCTAATTTACGCCAATAATAAAATAAATAATCGAAAGTATCAAAGACCAACCCATCTATACACGCTGTCAAATTCCTCGAACCAACGCGTCAACTTGTCAAAGAGAACGTCGTGTAAAACTCTGTCCAACTCTTTCAATCACTTTTTCCAATCCAATGATATAACCTCGCCGCCACCTCGATCGACCGTTAAACGTCGACGGGCTAACAAGATTATTCGACGTATATAATTCCGTTACACGCGTGAAAAGTCGAGCTCGTAATTCACGCGCTTGTCCCGGAAATTGTTATTTATTTTCGCCGTATAGCCCCCCCGTCGCGAGATCGAATTATTCTCGCGCGCGCAGACGCGAAAGAGGGAGGAAAATCCGCGGGTTGCGCAACCAGAAAATCGGGCGGCCCGAGAAACGCTGCGCCATTCGCGGCGATAAAATAATCGTTGCGAGCAAGATTGGGGACGGTTAACGCACGCGGCGCCTCCGCTTTTAATCGGCCACCGATTCCTCGTTCAACAAAATATTTACCGCCGTACGTATCCCCTGCCTCCCTCCTCCCTTGGAACCCCTCTCCTCGAAAATTTCGCAGGAAGAAGATCCGAAGATGAAGTTTGAACTAAACTTGGTGAAGGAATTTCGTCTCGTCTCGAGGATGGACGGAGGTTGACGAAATTCAGGGGATGGGTGAAAGAGGATCGATTTTGTTCAGAACGGCGGAATTTTCGAGGATGGAGTATTTTTACGAGATGAGTTTTTGCAAGAAGAAGAAGGTTATTATACAGGCTCGTTAAAATTGAGTAGGCGCGCGTGGAAAAAATTTCGTGTTACGAAGTAAGAAATTCGTTTTCGGGCGTATAATGTATTTTCTGAGATTATGGATGAATATATATATATATATATATATTGTAGAATTGGAATTAACATAATGTTTACCACGAAAATTGAAGAAAAAGAAAAAAAGAGGACGATGTTAGTACAAGACGAGTTATCGCGTTAATAAAATTCGATGAAAAAATAAACGTCAATCTCTTCCTCGATTAACGATTTCCAAAATAAATATAAATAAAAATAATTTACGCGCAACACGTCTCGTAAAACAAATTGTCGATATCCTTCTTTTCGATGCGAATTTCGTGGCGAATTTCGCGGTTTAATTCCTAAGAAACCGACGCATATTCGAGTTCAGATGGAAAGGAGTTCGAGAATGAATGAAAGTCTCGTTCGGAAATCTGGTTCGGTGATCGGTTTTATATCGGTTTCGATTAAAACTCAATTTCGTTCGGGGAAAAAAAATAAGAGGAAAAAGGAAAATAAGGAAGGAAAGGACGGGAGGAGCGTGCGTTTTACATCCACCTCGTTTCGCCCGCGTTACCCACGAGTTAATGCATCGGTTCAATTAGCGAGCATCGCGGTGACACGGAACAATCAATTACGTTTGTTTACAAGGTGTACCCGTTAACGGCGCAGCCATTCACCAGTCGTTTAAAACGGAATTAACATTCCTCGAAGATGAACGCCGGTTTCGCCGATCGTACATTTCGCTCGACACAGCTTCGAACCGTCGTAAGTTGAAGGAACGGACGTCACTCCTTCGCATTTCCTTTCCTCCCTTTCGGTTTCACGGATTTCGCGTAGAAGAGAAAGAAATTTCGATTCTCTATTTCTAAAAATTTGTAAAAATTGATTAGGTAATATTTTCTCTATCATCGTGCGAGATACGGGTGTACGCGCATGTACAATCCGATAACCCGTGGAAATTTATTAAACGTGAAGTTTAAGAAGATAATTTCAAGATACGAGATATTTGCTTCGGAGTTCAACTTCACTGTGTAACATCGTTTTATCGTTTCTTTTTTATTCGAAGTAAACAATATAAAGACGTTCATTCATATTTTTTGCTTGGAAAAAGTGTTCGCGTATTCGCGTTGCTGCCACGAAAGAAGAAAGATATACGCGTGTATAAAAAATATATATAACAACTTCACTGAAAAATCATGGCCAGAACACGCGACGCGATAATTTTTTTTCTCGATCATCGAAACCAATCGAGTGTCACGAACAACGCGATAATGATTCCTTCTTGAAAAAAAAAAAAAAAAAATTAATTCTGACAATTCAATATCTCGAAGAATTTCCACGAGTAAAAAATCGTATCTACTCTGTTCATCTTAACCACTTTACTAATTCTCTTACCAAATCTCACTATACCTATATCTTACATTGAAATATCTAAATATGTATATATACCTCCGAAATTTATGTCATCCATGCCGATAAAATCTTTCGCCTCTGAATCCAAGAAAATATCAAAATACTTGGACCTCGACGAAGAAAGAAAAATCCTCTTAGCCGATCGGAATCTCCAACCCCCTTTCAGAGGAATATCAATTAAACGGACCAGGGGCGCGACTCGAATTCGCGTGTCGCGATCCATTACGCAGGTGACACTCGAAAAATTCACCTCGGCGATCCGTCAAACGGCACGGCGTGTACGCGAGCAGATCTGTCGTCGAACCGGGTTTTTCTTCTTTTCTTTCTCCTTTTATTTTTTTTTTTTTTTTTCTGTTCGTGCGACGATCTACAACGTCGCGAATCCATGGAACCCGTTCCACTCGCTCGGCCGGCGAATATATCAGCCGGCTGTTATACCGATAAGCGTCGGACTCGTCCACGACTCGCCAATATTCCAATTACGGAATCCGAGGCAATAAAATCGTTGGATCGAATTATCCGGCTAGGATTTGTACCCATTAACGGCAACAAGGTAACCCGAGAACTACCATCGGGCGGCACCCTTATCCTCCGCGACTCGAGGTTTTAATTAGAGAGGATTTAAAACTCGGAACGCTGAATGAAACTTGGAGGCGATCTTCGAAGGCGTGGATTGATTTATTGGTATTCGGAGTAGAGGTAAGTAAGAGTGATATAGGGAAAAGGGAAAGTTTATGTTCAAGGGACAGGTGGAAATTGGATATTCGGATATAGGAGTGATTTTCGAAGCGGAGTGATTAATTGATCTGTTTGATGTAGAAAGCGACGAGTTGTTGTTCGCTGTCGTGATTTCGAGACAAGGATATTTGGACGAGTAAGAACGTAATAGATATTGTATATTATTGCACGATATAGAATTTCGAAGAATTGTACGTAGTAGCACGATACCAATCTTCTTAGTAAACGAGATACCGAAAAACATGAAATTCAATAAGTAAATATTTTGCCCGGCTATTATCGACGGACCATACATCTTCAAATCTCAGTTTAACAATTGTCCAAACGACAAAAACCCCCTTACCTCCTCTACTGGAAATTGTAAAAAAAAACGCCTCCTCTCGAGGCGTAAGTGTCGAGGAGGAGAGATGAAAGGATCGAAAGGGCAAGGATCGTGATGATGGAGGCCCAGCGTGACAAAGGATCCCTCTCGATGGTTCCGTGATGCGTACACGGCCAATAAGCAAAGAAGGAACAGAGGGATGACACTCACCCAGTGCATGCCGGTGGTAGGAGGGGCGCGCTCCTCATACACTCCCATCAGGGTGGCTGCTGTCACGGGGTAGTTCCCGCCGAGGGTGCGCGACGCCGAAGCTGCTTGGGGGGGAGTCCCGGGGGATCCGCTTGCCGATAACGCGGAGATGGCGTCCGCTGCGCAAGTTCCCTTCTTCTGCCTCCTCTTCTTCTTCCTCCACCACCACCGTCAGCTCGGTTCACCCTCTCGTTCTTTCCTCGGCTCGACAACTTTTCAACACTCAACAACGTCACTGCCAACTCCGCCACTCTTTCTTCGAGTTTTCCTTATTATCACTCGTAATGCTCGGTTACGATATCGGTATAATATCGTATATTTCCAAGGTACGGTATGGTCGAAAGGATCTTGGACAGAACTGTGATTGTTATTACGTCGTCCGGGGTTGAGAGGGTAAGTAAGCGCGCCCTCACGGGCACATCTCGGTGGAAATGTATCGCTCCCGGGACCAACGGCTTACGTCTCGATATCTTGACGATCGAAAACGCGGTACAAAACAGTCACGTTATCCCAGTATAAAAGTTACACCCCTCACTGTTACACAATCACTAAGCAAGAAGGGTTCATCGACGCGGCGAGTCGGGGCGATTGGACGCAGTCCTGGAACGATCCTTCTTCATCCCTGGCTCCATCGTGGGATCACAAAGCACTAGGACGAACGAAGAAGCGACACCCAGCTAGTCCGCGCACCTGCACTCGAATACTACCACCGTGGTGTCCTGGTGTCCTTGGAGCATCGACAGCGCGAGGATCGATCTCCACTTCGTGCTCTTTTTCTCGACGGGACGAAAAGAACGCGCGTCAGACCCGTTTCATGGCGCATGTGCCCTCGTGTGACATTCGGGACCGAGATACGACGATGACGAGCACGACGACGACGACAACGACGACGACGACGACGGCGACGACGACGACACGTCGGGAAGAACGACGCCAGAAAACGAGGTACGCGCGAGCACGATGCGCCACGGTAAATACAGGCCCGTTTACCGTGTCGAAGCCGCGATGCGGAGTGAGGGAACCGGCACAGCTACAACTGGTTCCAGCCATAGGCAGCGCCGCATCGCGGTGGAACCGTGAAAACAGCGGCGTCACAAGGTGGGGCGGACACGGTTCCACGAAGGACCGCCCATCGGTACCCCTTCCCGCTTTCACGCGGAACGACAAGCCCCGCCCCGACACGAAACTCGATACCGCGCCTCCTTGTCTGTTCCTCGCCCATGCATCGTCTCTCCTTGTCTCGAGCACAGCGACTACTTTGCCGCACGTCGCTGCTCCAAAGAACCGTCTGCGCGAGAGAACAGAGCGACTCTGGCGCGGCACACAGTGGCGTAGGCAGCTACGTATACGCGGGTTCGTAGAACAGAGACACTTTAAATTGGTGGCTCGGACGGCCGCGTTCTTTGGCGTTTTGTTATGTCACCGCGGAAATGAATGTATCGGGGATGTCGGAACGGGTAATGCCGAACGTTGCTCGCCGATCGAATCATTGTTCTTTCGGAAAGGTAATAATGTTAGATCGTAGAGGATGATAGGCTTAAATATTCCAATGTTTTATGCTCTTATAATTTCCTCCGCTCGCATACCTGTAATCGATCAAAGAGAAGGGTAAAAAGTAAGTTCTCGTTGTCAACGAGCCCATTAACCTCGTGGTAGGAATGAACGAGATCAAAGTGTCAGGAGTACCTTGAACAAGCCGAAACCGAGACACCTCGTTTCCGCGTCAAAATTGAAAGTCCGCGCTGGGCCATTACCCTCGTTTTGCGCGTATTTCGGGATAAAAAAGGTGGCAGTAACCATTCGGCCAACGATCCACTCAACCATCTGGCATTTGCATGAACAACCAATTTGCACGTTGCCTCTCGTCACGCGACGTTTATACCAATGATCGTCGTTTAACCGTGATTTTTTTTTTTTTTTTTTTTTGTCACGAGAACATTTGCAATAGGAAGTCGAAGATAGATGGAGCTTAATTCGGTCGAAGAATCCGCGAGGAATTCTAAAATCAACGAAACGGTCGCATCCGAATTTCTATAGTCTTCAACGGATCTGGGCTTTTTTTATTTTGTCGATTCGACGAAATAATGGCAGCCTCTTCTGCGCAACAGAAGAATTGGCTCGTCACTCTGTTCGACATTTTTTCACCAAATTTTCTTATTCTTGAGTTAATATTCGTTGCCTTTGTCCTTCGTGTCCATGATGCACTGAAACAATGATGCATTGGACGATGAAATATATATATTCTCTTTTGCATTTGGCGAATCAACCTCTTTTAAATTCCAAAATATTGAATATATTTGAGAAAGTATGGAATAATATGGAAGCAAGGATATGGAAAGTTAAAATTATGGAGGTGTATAATGGTGATAACTTGAATATTGATGAAGTTGAATTACATATCTGTTGTCGCAAATCTAAAGAATGAGGAACCGAATATCTACATGATCGAACAAAGTGGAATATTTCATTCATTATCGAAGGAGAATAAATGAGGGAAGACAGGTGTGAATATTGTCAAGACGCAACATTGTAGATGTATCATGTCCCAAGATTAATTATTAAAATATTCCGACGGTATGAATAAGTATAGAACATATTTCTTCACTCTATTTTATTTTTTTTTTATAAATATATCAAAATTAGATCGTGCGAGAACCGAGTCATCCTCAATAATAATTAAATTACGACTTCCCTCGAATTTTAATGAAAGTATTTTAAATAAATTTTCTATATCGTTTCAAATATTCCTTTTTAAGAAAAAAATCATAATTTCTTTCCTGATTTTCTACGTAGATTAAATATAATGTCCCATTAGAAAGTGACAGAAACTGAATTTGGACAAACCGTGAAAGTTTCGTGACTATATCTTCAACTTCACCTTCGATCCCAAAACCGGAAATAAATATAACACAAAAGCGAAACTACGTATAATTACAGAAATAATTGTGTAAAAAAAAAAAAAAAAAAAAAGAAAAGGAAACTTTCATTTCAAGACGAAATTTCAAGACGATGCTCAACTTCGATCCTCTAATAACACGCCTCAGCCTAATTTTCCTCAGCATCCACAATTATCGATTCGTGCCACGAATTCTCCCGTAACCCGAATTCTCTCGAAAAGGGATCGATATATCGAAGCGATACAACAAAAAGTTTCCGGTTCTCATCGTTTTTCCTCGTTGGCCAAGGTATAGCGCTTCCTTGGTCCGGTGTTGCGTGTTGGTGAAAAAACGACAGGTTTCAAGGAAGGAGCAGGGCGACATAGAGGCGGTCGGTGGACAGGAGAGGAGACAGAGAGAGAGAGAGAGAGAAAGAAAGAGAAGGAAAGAAGAGAGGAGTGACCAGCTGAAACCGAACGACGACCGTCCGTCCGATATTCCGTCATAAAAAGGAACCGGTTTCATTTGCAACGTAGACGGAAACCGCTGCCAACGTCGTTGGGTGATGGAATTCGCGAATACGTCGATGATGGCCCCGCGTCGACGATTTTTACTACAATCTTGCGGATAATAATCGAAGAGACATGCATCGAACGGTTCGAGAAAATCTCATGGAAAGCAGTAAAAAGAGATATTAATCCTTAAATGCCGCCGTTTGGATAGATGGATAGATTCTGCTTGAAAATCTTGGAAGAAATCTATTTCCAACAAAAAATTTTAACGCCCGGTGTAAATCGTGAATTTTAAATTAAACGTGTTTCCTAGTAATTTTCCTACTAAAATTAATATGATAAAATTAATAAAGGTGTATTTCAACAGTTTACATTTTTTAGACCGAACGAAGAAGAAGAATGAATTTTCACGGGGGACGGGGTAGCAACAACGAATTCTCGCAATCTAACTATCCTTTAAACATTAATAGAACGGGCTAACGAGACCTTCTTCTGTAAAGTGCCTCACCGAGGCGAGGCATAAAACATAAGTGTTTCTTAAACAGCTCATTAGTTTCAACAATTCGCTAAACCATAAAAATTCTTATTTTTAACTATCGACCAACACTGCCTACCCTGCCTCCCTCCCAATATTCATCCCTCCCAAAAGAATCGTCCCTCGAAAATTTTTCAACTCGCCACCGAAGAAACTATATATATATATATATACATTTCGCCACACATTTAACAATATACGCGTATATATAAAGAAACAGTCGGCGACCATTCGAGGTCTGAGAAACTCGTCGCCGCCGTCGCAATAGAGACCACGAGGTCAAAAGAAGGAACACGGAATACGTGGAAAGAAGATCGTCGATGGAAAAATAGAAACGGAGGAGGAAGAGGAGGAAGAGAGCGGAGAGCGGAGGGAGAGAAGCGGGGGGGGACAGAAAACGAAGGGGGGAAGGGAGGAAAAAAAGGTGAGAGAAGGGGAGGGATGCTGTTAACTTGACGCGTGAGTACTAAACACGCAGTGACGGTACAATGAGGACCGGCGCCCCGCGGGGAATGGGGCCCCGCCCGTGGAGAACCCCTCGAGAGTGTGGGGGTCTCGTCCAGATCCATGAAAGACCCCGTAGAAGCTGGAAACCTTGCGTTTCGGGGGTCACGGCATGAAACCGCTTATACCTTCGGGATCAACGTAACCGGATGAACTGTTAAAATTTGTGTTCGTTCATTGATAGGTTGACAATACCAGTGTTCCTGGTATGGAGCCCCTTCCTACCTATCCCTCCTGCACAGCTCCAGTCCCCTACTGCTTCTATTTGTTACGTTTCGCGTATAAATTGACCGATCACCGCGGTGGCTCCACGATCCCGAAAAATGTAACGCGAATACGTGTTATTGATATTCCGCGTTTTCTAATGAACCTCGTGAACGAAGGGGATAACGATGCTCGCGTTTTAATAATGGTGACCGTTACTCGGGCGCCCTTCCTCTTCTTTTCTTCCTGTGGCGATGGAATAGGGAATGGTAGAATGGTTTGCGGACTGTTTTAAACTGTTTGCACGAAATTAGATTTGTCATCGAAGAGAATTCGTTTAGAATCCGCGCGATTCGAGTTTGATGATTCGAACGATTAATTTTCGATTCGTTACGATCTAATAAATTACCAAGTTCTTTTCTTACGGATATAACAAATTATAACAAATTCCGCACGATTCAGTTTTCCTCGCAAGGAAACTCGTTTCCAGAAGAACGAAGAAAGAAACGATATCTTATATTCCGTTTATTGTAACGGCCGTTAAAAACGGAACGGAATCAAAGAGCTACGTCGAACCTTGACCAACTTTTGCATTCGAGAGCCGCCTGTTCTCTCCCTCTCTCTCTCTCTCTGAATCGGGGAACAGTTTCGCGATTCGAAATTATATTCAAGCGAGCACAAAAGCTCGCGAGTGGCGTAATCGCGGGGAAACGAGCGCGAGGCGCAACGATCTCTCGCCATGAAAAATCTCGCTCGCGACTTCTGTTTCCACGGACAGAGGCGCGCGTGCTCGACGAGAAACCGTGCTCGAAGAAAAACGAGCGAGGCTTGGAATAAAGGAGGAGGGAATTAAGCGCGAAAGCCGAGAGGTAGAGAGAGAGAGAGAGATTGAAAACGAGTGCTCGAAACGAACAGCCGAGCCGTTTCCTTCGTCTCCCCGGGTCCGTGAAAGTGCATTTTTCAGTGAAAACAACGTGCAACGTCGGCACGCGAGCCGCAAATAGAAAAGCTTTCCACCCTTTGACCCGGAATCCGCGTTTCCAGCCGGCGGACGACGCCGCGCTTCCACCCTTCCGCTTCCTCTTCTGCCGCGTCGTCATTTTCTTCCGGGAGAGAGTCAAAGACCACGGCGCTCGAAACGAAGCCCCTTCAACCTTTTCCTTTCTTTTTTTTTTTTTTTTTTTTTCCTTTTTCCAATTCCAACCTCTGGAGCTCTGCAAAGAGCAAGAACGGCATTGTGTCCTCGCTGACGCGAGCTTTTCACGGGCCCTGTTTCGAATTCCAAAGGGGAACGGCGCGTTTTCGATACGACGCGAGATTAGAACTAAAGAAAAGGGAGCGGAATGGACGGAGAGGGTAGATAATATTAGAAAATTGGAAATCGAAATTTACGAGCGTGTCAAATGCTAATTCTCGCGATTTCTAAATTTGAAAAGTTTCCAAAGATTTCTCGAATTTACGAAATTTCTAGAATCTAAATCTATTGTATCCACCTACGATAATATAATATTTCTAATTAGACTTAATACAAAAATTGCAACGATATTCGCGTTCTCACCTCGAAAATGGGAGATCCGTTGAAAATCCTTCTTCACCGTGGCGAGCAAGAACCGAAGAGAATCGAATCGAGAGAAAACGAATTGGACAGCGTTGAATCGAGACTGAGACCAGGACGAGCGCGCGAGGAAAGGCGTATAGGCCTCGTAGGGGATATAGAGAGATCAGGAAGGAGAGGGCATGGG